GACCCTCACAGTGAGTGCTAGCCTGCTCTTCCTCCCCTGTGCCGTTTTAAATTCCTGCGGTTCTCTCCCCTGCCTCTGCCTTCCAGCCTCCGCGCTCCTTCCTTCTTTTCACTCTGACCCCAGTGGGACTTGTGGTTTCTCTCCGCGCGGCCCTCGGCGGTTTCAGGTTCACCACTCGCCCCGGCCTCCCCCGAGCTGCGGTGGCGGGTAGACGCTCCCCCAGGCTTTGGAGTGTGCCAGTTTCCCCTGGTAAACCAGCCCCCTGGGTCTAGAGCCGCAGAGCGCCTGGGCCTTGCCGGCCGGCTCCCTGCGCGCAACCTGTCGTGTCGGGGATGCCCGGCCTCGGAGCAGAGGTGAGCTGCTCGCCCAGGTGCCGCCCGCGACCCCAGCCTGAAGTTGAGACCCCTTGTCTCTGGGATGCGCGCAGTCCCGCCGACAAAGCCAGGAGGGACCAAAGCCTAATTAAACTTTCCTTATTGGAAAAAATAGCTTTCCAGAGTCTTGCCCTTAAATTCTAATTCTGTAGGATCCGAGGCAGCAGGCACACTGTCCTCCCCCACCCACTTCTATTTTTCCCCCGAATTTCCGAAAGCAGAAAGTGCAAAAAATACGGACTTTATTAATAAGGTGCTATAGATCTTTTGTTTCAATAGTGAGAACTGCAAAACCTTTAATCTTTCACGTGCAGAGTTATTAGCTGTGGGACCTTGAGTGACACTTAACCCTTTGAGCCCATTTCGTTATCACGAAAGTGGGGATAATATCTACCTTGCATCAGGTTTGAGGATCAAATGAGAATTTATATGAGAAGTGAGCAAAGCACTCAATTTACTGGTCTACACTTTTGTTTTCTTTAAAAAATAATCTGTGGTTATAGAATTAACACTGGCCTAAGTCATTAGTTCTCAAACTTCAGGGGTGCATTAGAATCACCTGGAAGGTTTGTTGTAACACATTGCTGAGTCATCTCCCAGAGTTTCTGATTCCATAGATCTGGAGTGGGGCCTGATAAATTTGCATTTCTAACAAGTTGCCAGGTGATGCTCACCGTGGACCACACTTTGAGACCCGCTGGTCTAGAGAAAATAGGAAGAAAAAGGTATAAAATGGGCTGATTAAAAACACTGATTTTGAAGTGAGAGAAAGAGATCAGATATGTTTTAACTGTCATCCTGTAAGTGTAGGTAAAACATCTGTTTTAAAAGCTGTTTGCTTTGCGAGTCCTTTATGGGTTTCAGGTGGCAAACCTGATCCTAACCTGATCCTTCTTTGCCCAAGAAAAGACCCACAAGAGTTGATCTTTAACCTAATGATGCTAATGGTGTGTCCTTCACGCTGGGGTGAGGGGGTAGGAAGAGGAGGAAGCTCTGCAGTCAAACCTGAGTTGACAAAATTCAGGAATGGGAAATGTGCTTTTATAAAAATTGAGTTTTTATTGATTCCAAAATAGCAGCAAGCAAAAGACGCAGGTCTGTCATTTTTTTTCGGGCCTGCCATAATTAAAAAAACTTATCAACCCCTTACATTATTCAGTAAAACTGGAAAGACGCTTATAGCCCAATGTGTTATAACAAACCTTCCAGGTGACTCTAATGCACCTCTAAAGTTTGAGAACTAATGACTTAGGCCAGTGTTAATCCTATAACCAAAGATTATTTTTTCAAGAAAACAAAGGCATAGATTAGTAAATTGAGTCTTCTGCTCACTTTTTATATAAATTCTCATTTGATCCTCAAACCTGATGCAAGGTAAATACTATCCACACTTTCATGATGAGGAAATGGGCTCAAGGGTTAGTGCTCTTTCTCTATTTTGGTAACTTAAATAGGTTTCTTGAAATTGTTTTTGTGTTTGGAGTTTGTTCTGCAGTTGTCTGCCAGGCTGGCCCGGCTGATCAGGGCAAGGTGCATATGTGTCCCAATTTGTTTTGCTCTTTTCTAGTAGCACAAAAAGGAGCATGTTGTATGACTAGAAGACAGAAGAACTATCCTCCCGATTAGGTTCCTATTGCAGCTTCCCATAGTACTCATTTTTTTTTCAAGCATTTTATTGGTTGCAATTTTTTTCTTTAGAGCAAAACTGTAGGGGCTAGCAACTGAGGGTAATTCTGAAGTGCTTACCACATTACCATGCTTGTAAATACGACTGTTAACTTTTTATTCCCAATTCTGGGTTGCACTGTTATTTTTGCAATCTTATTTTAACTCAGTGGTACTCAAATAGGGTTGATACTGCTCCTACCCCGGGAACATCTGGCAATGCCTGGAGACATTTTTGGTTGTCCTATATCTGGAAGGCTGCTACTGGCATTTAGTAAGGAGAGGCTAGGGATGCTGTTAAATATCCTATAGTGCACACCTCCCTAGTCCCTTAGCAAAAAATGTTCTGACCCTAAATCTT